ATTTTTGGATGTTGCACAAGCTTTCGACAAAGTCTGGTTAGATGGTTTAAATTACAAACTAGACCAAATACTACCATCAATGTATAGTCAACTATTAAAATCATATCTTTCTGATCGATATTTTAGAGTAAAATACGAAAACGCTTATTCACCAATACATGAAATACGAGCCGGAGTTCCTCAAGGAAGTGTGCTTGGCCCAACATTGTACTTTACACATTCGACCTTCCTCAGGTACCAGAAACTTTAACAGCTACATTCGCAGACGACACAGCGATCTCGGCTGTTGCAGAAAATGAAGTAGTTGCAGCATATAAGTTACAATTGGCATTAAATTCAATAGAAAACTGGACCAAACGATGGCTAATGAAACTAAATACAAATAAATCGACATATATAAACTTTACTTACAAGAAAGTAAACTATGTCCCAGTACATAAATGGCAACGCAATTCGCAAAATATCTTGGTATGACGCTGGATGCCAAACTCAAATGGAAAGCTCACGTCAAAAAAAAAACGTGAGGAACTTGATATCAAATTTAGACACCTATATTGGCTTATTGGCAGAAAATCAACGCTATCACTAAGAAACAAGTTGTTAATATACAAGCAAGTATTAAAACCAAAATGGACATACGGAATCCAACTGTGGGGTTGTACCTGCAAGACAAATGCAAGTCTGATTCAAAGCTTCCAGAACAAAGTATTAAGGTGCATAGTGGTATATAAGAAACACCGACCTCCATCGCGACTTGAAAGTAGCATCGGTGTCATCAGAAATGCATCATTCGCATGTAAACATGAGAAGAGAATGCACGATCATCCCAACATCGAGGCCATCCAGCTTCTCGACAACGAGCATGTCCTGCGGAATTATAACAAAAACAATAATACCCAATACGTGTGTTCCGCGTATCGCAGTGTGCGCGTTTTTGTGTTTTGGTCTTAAAACGGTAAAAATATGACAATATTTATCTATATTATGGGTAAAGCAGACTGGACCACTGGGAAAAGCTGCAAAACATTATCTAGTTTAATTTTGTGTTAAAAATAAGTAACTAATTAGTATGTATTTACTAGGTGTTATACAATTTTGCTATGCATAATACAGAAAAAAAAAAAATTGATGCATCTGGGAGCAAAAATGTTCCAGACCATTGTGTTAAGGGTACAATTTGCCACAACTTTTGCAGTATACATTTTTCTGTATCATGCTCCGGATATCGATTTTTTTTAACACTTCTAATTTTCACAATTTTGAAAAATTCTCCACATTGATGCATGTAGGAGCAAAAATGTTACCGCCCATTGTGTTAAGGTCAAGCTGAAGACGCGAATATTTCTAGTTTTAGTGCAATAAAAATATGTAACATAGTGATATTTTATCTAACTAGTAGTTTGTCAAATGGATAAGATGAGAGATGTTAATCTATTTGTAGAGTCTCTGAAAATGGCCAAGGGCTGAAACTAGTTAGACTTAAATTCTATATAAAATAAAACATCTAAGTCGGTTCTTAGACGTATAATGCAAATCGGGCTTGAAATCGTATATCATTAGTGGCGCTCTGCAGGTCTTTCGGCATTCTGCATTTTTTCTAAGATAAGTTACACCTTTATCTACCAGACAGCATGAAAATCTCTAAAAACGATAAAAGTGATGTATAACACGGTCCAATTAATATTTGCTCACTCTGAAGAGAAAAAGATAAAATCACGTTCTTTATTTTCGTTGTGAGAAACCTCATACCACTTTGTTACTCTTCATTGAGAGTTTATAGTTTAATAAATTGCTCAAACTCTTAAATATCTAAATATAAATGTAAATGTGTAGCCTGAGTATGTTGAATGTGATTCTTCTTTTGCCAGTCTACTTTTTATCTTTCAAGTCACTTTCTACTATAACAATTATCAGAATTTAGAAAAGCACATATAAGCAGCTAAGAAAACATTACGTCCTGTAAAATATCATTTAGGTGACATCCTAAGATGCAACATTGTTGAAACTAAAACCACATCCTAAAAAGTTGTCTACATCCTAACGTTTTACGGTAATTCTATAGAAACTATCATTTTTGCTGTTACCGGTAACAATTTCGACTAAAAAATTACTTTCTACAAATATCGTATTGTTTCTAGAAAAGTATAGACCAGCTATATTGAGTTCTTAAAGAGTTAATGAAATCATACTTATTATTATTAAATTATAGCAAAAAATCATGTCAAAATATCATTCCTCTGGCATGTTATAACTGGAGACGTCTAACATTATGTAATTTTACATTTTGATTAAGCAAACCTGAACTTTCAGTAAAACTAATCTAAAAATATGTTTCACTTTAAAACTCCCCTCAAAAAGATGATAGAAACTATGTTACCACCTTTAGCGGTCATTCCTCTGGCTCGCAAGAAGTACGTAAATAATATGATGGTAGATGGCGGTATGTCTTCGCACGCAACCAGATATGCTTTTCCTAACCTAGTTCTTGCAGAGTGTCAGTAAGCAAATGTTGTCGAACTAAAATAATGAGTGTTCTTTTTAACGTTTTGTTCCCAAATTGTTAATGTCACACACAGATTGACCATTCCTCTGGTAAGTATATGTACTTTATTTATATTTTTGTTGCATCCATTCCTGAGATTACTGAGATCCAGAGGACTGATGACAGGCACAGAGGAATGAGCGGTTCTAGAGATGTTTAAATTTTTGCAGATAAGAATGCCATTATCACGAGAAGAAAAACTAAAGCGCAAAAGAGAAGCTGAGAAGAGAAGATCTTTCATATTGAAAAGTGATCCTGTAGGAAGGGAAAAGCTAAAGATGAAAGAGAAATATCAGTATTTACGGAAAAAGGAAAATAAATGAATGAAAAGAAAACAATGGCGTATAAGTTCTGCAAAATACCGAAAAAAGCAAAAGTTGAAACAGCAAATTGACGAGTTTGTAAGAGAAAACACGCCACCGGATTTTTCCTACGCCTCTCCTGATGGAAATGAAGCCAACCAAGTAGATGCGCCCCAAGTTTCTTCTGGAAAACGAAGAGCTGCAAGAAACAGAAAAGCTAAATATACTAAACTAAATATCATAGACTTCGAATCAAAAGTGAAGAAAATAAAGCCTAGATGCCTCCAACACAAGAGTAACTGAGATTATGAGCGATACATCACAAACTGGGGCCGTCAGAAAACGACTTTTGTTTGGTGAAGTGATTCGTGATCAACTTAAAGATAATTACAAAAGACTTAGCAGTGACAAAGAGAAACAGAAGTTTAAAAGTGTATTAACAGGAAACATTATAAGAAAGTATCGTGTTACAAATGACATTAGAAAAATTGTGAAAGGTGGGCGGATACAGGTACCTAAAAGAACTGTTTACGAAAAAAATAAGTTAGAGAATTCCAAGAAAAGAAACGCAATTCGAACATTATTGGAATCTGATTTAAATAGTAGGTTGTGCCCAGGAAAGAAAGGCTATTGTTCAAAAAATAGACTAATTAAACAGAAAAGGTATCTCAATGATACCTTGCTAAATTTACATAGGAAGTTTCAGGCTCGTCATCCAGACATTAATGTTAGTTACTCATTTTGGTGTAGATATCGCCCTTTTTATATTGTTCCGCGAAAAGTGTCTGCGAGAGATACCTGCGGTTGTACCGTATGCTTCAATATTCTATTGTTAATTCAGTCTCTAACTCGACTCAATGTCATTACGGAAAAGAACTTGAATGAGGTCATTTTGTGCTTTTGTTGTAACGAAAAATTTGAAAAATGTTATTTACGGAAATTGCGATTTCTATGCAAATATCATTCCGTGAGTACAACCCTAGGGAACGCAGTTACTACTTCAAATGGATGGCAGAAGAATGCACGTATGTTGACAAGACATCACAAAAAGAAAAGCAGGTTAGAAAGACATCAAAGAAGAAAGTTGAATGCCTGTACTATATATAGGACATTAGGATTCATCTAATTACAGGGGGTTTTCGCTTCATGAAGCCCTTGCTATGCTTGAGGACAATGACGACATTGTCAGCCAGGTTGATGAAATAACTATATTTCCTCCTGTAAACGCTGCAGCCGACCTGACAGATGAAGATTCTGGAGCAGAAAATGATCTTACAGTGAATAACCTACCGGCATCACAGTTACAAGCGCCGGTGGAAATCGTAATTGAAAGTAACTACGACAGTGATTTTTCATCAGATGACAATATACCTCTATCAGAGTTACAATCACAAAACACGGCAGCAAGAAACAAACAAAAAGTAAAAACTAAAAAGAGACAGATGCACTACAGTTGGATAAAAGAAGATTTGAAATTACCGCCCACCGACTTTGATAGTCCTACGAATTCGGCGATCACAGAAAACCCCTTAGAGCTTTTCTCAAAATTTTTTGACGAAGAAGTAATAGAATTGATTTTGAATCAGAGTAATAAGTACGCACAACAAAAAAATAGAAAAGCGAATATAGAAAAGCAGGAAGTAAACGCTTTTATAGGCGTTTTGATACTTAGTGGATATATGCAAGTACCGAGACGGAGGATGTTCTGGGAACGTGAAAAAGATTGCCATAACGTCATGATTACAGAAGCAATTACAAGGGACCGGTTTGAGTATTTGTTTTCTAATCTTCACGTCTGTGATAATCAGCAGTTGGACCAGGGTGACAAATTCGCTAAACTAAGGCCGCTTTTCACACTGTTGAATAAAAAATTCATGGAGAATTCCTCGCTTGAAGAAATGCACTCAGTTGATGAAGCTATGGTTCCGTATTATGGACGTCATAGCTGTAAGCAGTATATTCGAGGAAAACCCATGCGCTATGGATATAAGTTATGGGTAGGAAGTACCAGGTTAGGTTACTTGAATTGGTTCGAACCTTATCAAGGAGCTTCTACAAATATAAGTGAAAACTTTTCTGAATTGGAAGTTGGTGCTGGAGTAGGCTTAGAATATGCGCAAGCTTTATGTAAGAAATGGCCAGATAAAAAATTTCATCTCTTTTTTGATAACTTTTTTACGTCAATTCCGTTGATCGAAAAACTAACTGACTGGAATTTTTATGCTACTGGTACGGTTTAAGACATTTCTCTTATAGATTCAAAACTCATAAAGAAGCAGCGCAGAGGAAGTTATAATTATGCAAAAATTGTAGAACAGAATATAATTGCAGTAAAGTGGCACATAGTAGTAGTTTCTGTTTGTTCCAATTTTTCTGGAGTTGCCCCAATTCACTTGGTCACACGTTATTCGCAAAAAAGAAAAGAAGAATATTCAGGTACAGCAGCCGCATCTTATACAGATGTACAATACAAATATGGGAGGTGTCGATCGCTCTGACCAAAATATCAGCTTATATCGAATTTCGATCAGAGGAAAAAAATGGTATTTTCCTTTGATATCTCACTGTATTGACATGGCAATTCAAAACGCATGGCATTTGCATCCTAAGAATGGAGGAGAATTAATTAGATCAACTTAGTTTTAGAAGGAGAATTGCTGTAATGCTGTTGGTTCAGAATAAAAAAACATCGTCATATCAAAAAGGACATACCAGTAGGTCCCACGAAATAGATATACGGTTCAACCGAATAGATCATTTAGTTATGCCCCAAGAAAAACAAACTACAACGAGATGCACAAAATGTGACATTGGTGTACACACGAAGTGTTTTGTTCAGTATCACACTAATAAATAATTTTACGTTTATAGATATTCATGTGCCAAATGTCCTACATGTAGGAGGGCCCGAATTTCCAATTTAAAAAAAAACAAATTGTCATGGTTTGTTTGTAAGACTTTGTTTTGCTTCTTTAAATAAGTTTTCAATAAAGTTATTATGATTTGTAAAGTGGTTTTAATTTAGGCATATCTGGGTTAAAACAAAATTAGACTAATAATTAAATAACTTATTAATTGTATGATGATTAATAATATCTAATTCAATGTATAAAATTTTTAAAATCACGTGGTTATAATGTAAAAATTTTTGTATTTTGTAACTAATATTTTACTGTCAGTTAATTTGATTATAATTGAGGATGTAATAAAGTTGTTGCAATAAATTTTAATTATTAATTATCCTCGAAACACTTCATTATTTTCAATTAGTCACCCTTCCATATTTGCGTTGCTAAAGAAAACTTTAAACGCGAATCCATTACGTGGAAATCGCGTAAATGGTCAACATGCAATCCGTTTCAGTCGAGTATTTACGTTCGAATCGCATGCTTAAAGTAATTACTTCAATTAGTTCACCGCCAGCGTTCGAAATTCTATTATTCCGATGCTTCGTTGTGGACCAAAATCGTAATCAGTTCACTCTGAAATAACTTAATTTACTTGCTTGACGGATTCCATTTAAACAAAGCTCTCGCGATGTAATTTTACGATTTCTTTGATATTTTAATTAATTCTGCCTTGTTGATTTTAACACAGTGAAAGCTACGTCAATCGAAATGGCAGGGTTGGAGAACAGCACTTAAAAGTTTATAGCACTGTCGGTTAAGCTTTATATGACTTTCCCCGGGGTGTAAACTCATTTTATTCCTACACATTCCGTTCCTGAAAGTCATTAACGATGGCAAACCGTCGACCTTTTCGCCTACAACCAACGTTTGTAGTAGATTTTAACGTAAAAAGTAATAATGTCGTAACTCGCTAACGAGCGACACTGACAAACAAGTTAATTCTACTAACACTTTCCTTACTCAAAACGTTATGAAACATCAATTATTTTTTTCTAATAATAATTCTATTTTTGTTGGATAAGCTATTATATAAAAGGAATTCTTACGTGATTGGTTGGGGTTGAATCGTCGTCCTAAAACCGCCGGTGCACGTTTATCTGAAACAAAGAGTCGACGTAAAAGTAGTTTCGATTAACTTAATTCCATGTGGGGCAACGATAATACAGTTATCCCGAGAGAATTACTAAAATCAATAGTGGTGGTTAACTCCTTTTCTAGTACTTTTTCTCCGGCACATCATTTAGTTTTAATGATTTCTTTCGTTAACTAACGGGACTTTATTGATATTATCTATTGATTTAAACTTTATTATAAAACACAAATTTTTATCTATTACTACATATTTTTTTGAATTTATTTCGTTTAAACGAAGTTTCTGGGTTAACTTCTTTTTCTATGTTCAAATTTTTTTTATTTAATTTTTCGTTTCAGTCTCTGGTGGAGGAATAAATTAACAAAAATCAATGACGCTTCGTTGAAAGTTGGAGCTCGTTAGTGAAGCTAAAGTATTACGTTCCTGACACTGCATCATTCTTTTTTTATGTTAACATTTTGTAACTTGAACGTTTTTCTTTTTTGCGATTTATAAAACTTACCAACAATACACCGGCATTGTGCTGAGTTGAAATAGATAAAATATCTTATAACTGAAATGCAGGATTGAATGGAATCCGTTGACTTCACAAAAGATATGGGCAGCCATTAAGTAATTCAAGATCCGCCGAGGATTTCAAACCTCGTTCCTCACTTTCTTATAGAAGTAAAGAGACGAACTATTATTCCCGAAGCTGAACGTAAATTTACATAAGAAATTCTGGTTTTGATGAAATCGAGTTACATTTATCCAAGGTAATTAGTAAAATTGAATATTAGGATGATTTGATGCTCTATCATAAATTTTTATTAAAAACAAATTTTTAATTATTAATAACACTGAGAAAGTAATTCTCTGAAAAGTATTTAAGTATTTAACCTTAATTGGTTTAATAGTTGATAACACGCCGTGTGGTAAATTAAAATAAAATCTTAAGTAGNTGAAGCGTGCATTCAAGCTGAAGGCGGACATTTCGAACAATTTTTGTAATTTTTAAACTTATTTTTTATGTTACATTTTCATTTGCCTATTAAACTGTGTAAAATTTTCAAAGGCTTGTAACTCTTTAACCAAAATGAATCGGACCCATATTCATATAACATTTTTTCCTTAGAATCGCATCACCTTTCATCTACCAAAGTTTGTCATAGAGCTAATGAATCACCCTGTATATACCAAACAAGATGAGGTACAGCAACAATGCTTTTGCACTTTATCAGAATCGCTTCTACATAATATCCCGGCCATTTAGACCCAATAATAAAGTGCATAACAAACTCTTACCATCGACTCAATACCGTAATAAAACCATGTTTTATTTCCTAGCAATCGAGTTGCCAAAATTGCAACCAAAAGTAAAAAATTTTACTTGGAACTGTTTAGAAGCTGGTTAGATAGATTGGTTGGTCAAGGAGCAGATATGGTCGAAATAAAAGCTATGTTGAATAACCTGTGCCAAAACATTCAGAACATAACTTACTATCAGATTGATGCAGATAAAATTGATGAAATGTCCCAAAAACTTAAGAGGAACTTTTAGAGGAACAATGAAAGTACACCAAATAAAAAAAGAAGATTATGAAAGTAGCATCAGATTAAACTTTTATGAACTTAGCACTTTCATAAACGGCAATAAAAAATACTTCATTGGTGCCCTTGAATTCAACAAAATTGGGCTTAATGATGAATTATCTTCTAGTGACACGTCTAGTGATGATGAAGACACTCCTTTAAGCAGATATATCAGCGGTTCCATAAAAGTTCAAAACAGCTACAGTTTGAAGATGTTTATTCTGACGAAGATCAAGAAGCTGCTTGTTTTAAGCAAGTTTGCATTTTAGTTTTTCCTATTCACTGTTTTGGTTTTAACATGCATATTATGCCTAATATTGTATTATTTTGCCGTATCAAATAAAAAAATCATTCCTCTGCTTATCGTTTTTACAAAAACAAGTCAATTCTGGCTAGAAAATAATTAAACTGTTTGATCTTGAACTTTGCAAGGTTCATTTTGAACAAAAGTTCGTGTTTGTGTATTAAAAAACAAAATTTGGAACAAAAAAACTATTTTCAAATTCCCATGTGAAAAATGATAATCACCTTTTAACGATATACCACATCCAATCGATAACGAAGGATAACTTTTATCAGTTATCATTTTGTCTTTGATGATGGCGTATTTTCGGAAGTAGTTAGACAATAAATTTTGAATAAATTAACCGTTTTAAGTACAACAAAGTTAATTTACTTGATTTAATCGAAAAAAATCTTAATCACGAAAAAAAAATGATATAATTTAATTTGACTCACCTAAAAAAGTGTTCGTTTCTCGTTACAGCGCTCGTTTCATACCCATCGTAATCAACTTCTTTTCAGTTCGTCTACTGGTCCATAATCAGTGCAGAATCGCACTGGGATTCATAGTACGTCCTTTGAATCGACAAATCCATAAACATAATTAAGATAGGGAAAAAAATGCAAAAAAATCATGAAAAATAAAAAAAAAATAAAAAATTCTTAAACGATTCTTTTTAAAATTTTTCTTTCTATTGGTGATTAATTTAGACACGCGTTTCTCTTAGAAACTTTACCTTGATCCGGCACCGTATTTACCTGAATAGCTTCGAATCGCGAATGAAGCACAACTCGACAGGATCGCGCTTGTATTTTGAAAGGGCGACGCAAGCGCTCTCTCTTTCAACCCCTAAACTAGACGAACAATAAACGAACGTTTATTGGAGGAATTTACCCCTAAAAATATCAAAATAATATGTTAAAAAAGTATCGAATTAAATTGAAATCAATTTGAATGAAATCGATAAAGGGGAAATAAAATGTGATGACGATGACGTTTGAGGAATGGTCGTTGGTTTCGTGGCGAGGAGCTTCAAGCCTTCGTTGGCATAAGTAAACAAAATGTGCTCCTCCCAGATCGTGTATGAGGCTCCATTCAGTCCATGCTGAGGGACGAAATTGCATCCTTTGTGAGATGAGCTGGACCGAGCTCTGCCAACTTCATGAATAATAATTATAAAAGTCGTTTGAAGCCGCGAGATTGTCCGCTGAATTTTTAAATTATTCTAACTGGTATTTTTTTAAACGTAACGATCAAATTAATCCATTTTAAATACAAACAATCATATTAAAATCGAAATTACATTGTTATTGATAAGTTATTAAATTAAATTAATCAATACCATCACGGTGGCAGAAAATCTAGACTGTCCATGATGTTATA